TTCGTATACATAACAGTCATGTGAAATGTCCGACAATTTTGATACCAAATTTAGTTATATATAGTGTTGATCATTTTTTCATATGATTTTTTACACTTTTTTAGCTTTATCTCATATGACAACTGTTAATTGAGTTTTCAGAACCATTTTATGAACTTTAAAAATTAAATATTCCAAGTCAGTTTAAAAGGATCTCGTCAAAATAGTTGTCTATTATGTAAACCATTAACTAATAAAAACACTATTTAAAATTATTTTACATGAATTTTTATATAAAATTAATAATTTTTTCAAAAAAAAACAAACATAATAGAAGTTGGGAATGCATTTTTCTTTATTTCATTTAAATTTAAGTTGTTAATTCAGAATTATCAATACTTGTAAAATAAATTTATTCCGAATATATGTTTTAAATATAAAGAGTGTAAAGGAGGTATGAAAAATCGATATATATGATAATGCACAAAAAAAAATTCTCTGTTATTATCTGATTTTGAAACCTGTTTCAAATCGAAAAGAAAGTTAATATATAAAGGTAACTTGGATTTTAAGTATTTTGATTTCGTATTCAATTTATTAAAATGAATATTAATGATTTTTTTAATAATATTTCAGAAGTAGATGAAAATTTTAATTATATACCAGATAAAATTACTATAGAACTAGCAAGACAATTAAATACAGTAAGAATAGTAGCAATAATGAAGAAAATATAGAATCTGAAACAGTTTTTAGTAGGGTCAATAGAAACCGAAAATATTGAACATGAAACTGAAAAGGAAATATCTCAAATTAATAATAATAGTATTTTAATTACTTGTGTAATTATTGATCATATTGATGGTAATATTAAAAAGTGTGGTTCAACAAATAAGTTACGCAGATTATGGCAACTAGTTTGGACATGGGAATTAGATACTGATACAGTAATACAAGCAAAAAAAGCAACTTGAAAATCTTGGTGTATGTTACAATTATTTTATGTTTGATCAGAATAAGTTACATTCTAAAGGGATTAAAAAAAACAAAGATATTTCTCAAAGTTTAATTAATTATAAACGATGTCTTTATTGTGAAAAAAATTATTATATTTTTAGTTGAGAAAAACTTGCTCTGAACATTCATGATCTCTAATTGGAAAAAATCTTCAAATAGCATGTGTTGGTCAAAAAACTTGTCCTACTCTTCAAGTATTTAATCCAATAATAACTCAATTTCATTCATTTAATTATTTTCACTATATATATTGTAAATTTTATGAAAAATATGGCGATCATCTTCATATACATTCAGGAACAGGTCACAAGTCTATTAATTTTATTGTTGAAGGAAAACACAATCAGGATATTTCAAATTCCTTACATTTATTTTCAATTTGGATAACGAAAATTGCAAATTCAAATGATATAAATTTAAAAAGTAAGGCATTATCTTTAATTGCTCTAATATTGCAAATTTTAGAAAAACATGAAACAATAGATTCTATTACAATTCCAAGTTTTTTTACAATTCAAACCATTTTTAAATTTTATCAAATAAATTTAAATAATGAAAAAGCGAATTGGAGTTCTAAAAAATGCTATAATCTTGGCAAACAAATGGCAAATCTTTTATTAAAAAATAGAAAACAAATTGAATCTCAAAAATTATATTTAGAAGAACCAAAATCTTTACTTGAATTTTATGAAATACTTCCTTTTCAATTAATTCAATTTTTGAAGATATGATCCAAACACTTTTTGAAAGATTATATAATCAAGCAAATGAAAGACAACAACAATGTCAAAAAAATTATAATCCTAAAAATTTAAATGCTAAAAAAGTTCAAAAAACAGTTATATTTATAGTATCAATAATTGTATTACTTGCATTTAAAAAAATAAAGATTTAGCTTATCAGAATACTTTCAAGTTTATGTCAAAAATCCCATTTAATATCTTCTTTTTATAAAGTTCTCTTATCAGTTAATGCAATATCTCATACAAAATGTCAAGAATATAATTTGGAAAACAAAAGAATGGATGCAGCAAAGCCAACAACTCGACTTTTAAAAGAATCAAATATTTGGAATATGTGTGTTATTGATAATATAGATTTCAAAAAAAAATCTTTTACATATGGAAATATATATGATACAACACGTTTAAGTTCACATGCTACTTTACGATTAGTGTTTCAATTTCAACTACCAATTGATATTTCATGTATTAGTAATGAAATATTTCATTTAAATGAAACAACACAATTATTTGGTTACAATCAAATTTCTAAAGAAATTATAAAAAA